ACACATAGGCTAAGGTGAACTATTGACCATAGGGTGTTTCTAAACCTTTAATTCAATAGGGATACATTGGATGGACGTATACCTTGCATGTGCATGACTGTCAAACAACCAACTTAACTGGAAATGAAACCACAACTTTGATTATCAACCAGCACATTTACTGATTTAATCTCTTCATTCATTCCTCTAATCTGGCATGTCTTACATTCCTGACAGCTGACTCTGACCAACTGTGAGGCAGTGAACACAGTAAAACCCCATTTTGTTTTCTGAAGCAGATGTTGAAGTTTTGAGTCCACACTTGAAATGTACAGCTGTCATCTCCTGCTCTGGGTACTGGGAAAAGACCCAGTGCACAAGTGTCTTACAATGGGACACTGTGTATAGGCTACTTCATTAATAAAGGCCTTATAGAGCACAGTAACAGTTGCACCAAATTGGCATAAAGCCACAATGACAACGCAAAACACGAAAATCAGTGTGTTCTATTTAATGGCATGCATAAAACTATCATACAGAGATCATTACTGTATTTTGAAGATGCTGAAACAAAGCAGATGAGTCTAATTAACTTTTGGACAATGGTATGCTGCTTTTCAAATATACTTCTCTAAAGAGGAAGTGGCACTTTGTTCTGTGGTTACAAGACTTTTTTTTTTTTTTTTTTTTTGCCATGCTGACATACTTTTTAAATGCATCATTGATCTTGTATGATGCCTCAAGTGTTTTCAGTCTTAGTGGCCATTTTGATTTGTTTTACAGCTAGAAACATGTGCATATTTCAGTCTAGTAAACACTCTCAAAATACAGGATGTTATAAACTAATAATTGCTTAGCCTGAGGGGAATTAGGTTTTCAGCTTTCAAGAGTAACATGTTTTGAAAAGTGATCAAAGCAGGGGAGAGTGATGTAGACAAACTTTTATATATAATTCTAACCATTGTAATAACAGTATAAATAACAGTATAATCAGATGATCTTTTAGCAATCTTTGAGAAATGTGTGCTTTTTGTTATTATCAATTGTGATTTTTTTACTCACTTCTGCCTAATAGGAACCCTAAAATACGTCAACACATAAGAGTGTAGTTTCCTTTGGTGTTACTAGGGACAATGTTTTGAACACAACATATGTTTTCATTTAGTGCCCAGTAAGCCTTTTTATTTTAATGGGAGAAATTGGCAAGGGTCCCTGTATTTGATGGTGCACTGTCTGCTAGGGTAAAGAACTATGTCAATACAAAGCATCTGATATAAGCAAGTCATACCACCACCGTACATTTAGCTTAACAACGTAATTGGAGAATTGTGGTCAGTCGTGCTTTGTGGAAGAGAGGCACTAACCAACTTAAGTGCTTCTTGATAACCTCATAGTGCAGGAGTGTCAAACTCATTTTGGTCCGGTGGCTGTATCCAACCAACTTTGATCCCAAAGGGGCCGGATCAGAAAACTCATGGCATATAAACCCCAAAAATAACAATAAGTTCAAATATTTGTGCAGAGAAACGCAAATCTATTACAGAAATCTTTTTTTAATTGGTGAACTCTTTCTTTTACAAAATATTATATTATGAACAACAAATTCTATTTCAACACAATGTTTTAACATTATCTTGTATGCAAATAGGAATAAGTAAATTTTTCTTGGAAAATCCTGCACTCAGCGTCCACTTTTCTTATTTTTGACATTTTGCTGATGAGGGTGTCACAGTCAACTGTCAAAACGATCGTCCTTTAAGAGTGTTTGGAAAGAGCCAAGCGTTCTTTTGTGCTGCTCTGGTGGGAGGGGCCACGCACAGAGCCTCTGGAGACGCTGCTATGCTAAGCGATGCAGAAAATTACCAATATTTTAATAGAAAATATAATTCAAATATTTAAGTAGAAAATCAGCCGAGGGCCACATTAAAGGTCTTGGGGGGCTGGATCTGGCCCCCAGGCCGTATGTTTGACACCTGTGTCATAGTGCAAACTGTAAATGGTTATTTAATACAGTCAGATTTAGGACCATATTATCAGTGACTTAAAGTAAAAAAATGATTTAGTCCAGTTTTTGCTACTTATTACCATATATTTGCTCTGTGTTATTATAATATATTGTGATATGTGAGCAACAAATAACTTCCCTTGTAGATCAGTAAAGTTTGTCTAAGTTTTAAGTTGTTTTCATTTATCTGTCTTATAATATTAATTTAGGACTATAATATAAATACATATACAATTGCTGTATGAAACACTTATTTATTTTTATGCACCTGTTTCTCCCAGTTTACCCAGAGGAGTTTTTGCCGACCTATCACAGTATTAAAGAAGGGGCTGTAGTGGTCAAAGCAACAGAGGTGAGTTAATGTTGTGAGTATCTTTGATATTACAGGTAGTGTTATAGCGCAAAAATAACCAGAAAAACACGCATTCTGACTGTGAGTGGGGTTGTCTCTCCACATATCTGACCTGTAACTTGGTCTGGTTTGGTCTCCATGACGATAGATAGGTTTAATACCTGTGAAACCTAATACTGTGAAACATTCCATTAAATGTGTCTGAAACTTGTTGGATTTTGTTTCAATTTAAGAATTAAAAAAGACATAATCCAGTCAACAGGGATTAGTTGATGACAAATGGAATTGTAATATAAAAGTTTTATTAGATTTCACATCTTTTGCCTCAGAAGTTGATGTGTGTTAACATTAAAAACACAACTAATCAGTATAATAACAAAGTAATCTTTCCTTTACTGAATGTTTTGTAGGTCATTGAGGGAGTGATTATAGTTCTTTTATTATGATTACTAGCTGGAGGATAGCACAAACTTTATTATTATTCTACGGCAGTATTGTCAGTGTTTACCATACAGCAAGACAGTCCGGAGAATTGAAGCTAGGTGTGACAATGTTAGTCCCTCCCTCTTGTGTTGGGTCCAGACAAGGTCATCATATTTCCAACAGTAGCACTCAGGCTCTTGGTTCAATATGTATGGGACCATGGAAGAGGAGGTGTACGAGTTTCACCAGGCAGATTTATCAGCTGCTCCTTGTTTTTGTTCACAGGTTGAATTTAACGGCAAAAAAGACACACTTTTCTTTAATGATGGCGTTCGAAGGATTGACTTTATCCTGGTGTATGAAGACGAGGATAAGAAAGAGTTTGAGAAGAGGCACAACGCTGCAAGACGCAAGGTGCCCACACTCTCTCCCAACTGTTGCGCACTATGGTCATTCCCAGACATATTTGCTAATAGATGTCTTATATGTAATGGTGTGTATGTTATATTTGAGTAACACTTTGAACCTTTAATTTTTTCTAAAGTATTAATATTTTTTGATGTCAGCTCTGCTTTTCTTTTTTCATTTTTGAAAGTTGCTTGTGTCTGTAATATATTTGTATTCCTGTATAAGGGAGATTCCATTAGTTTATTTGCTGTATTGGACAGTGTATTTGATGTTCAGTTGTGATTTATTGCTAGCGACCAAACTTAAAATCATCAATCAATATGTGCAAAAGTCTTGTCTTTGATTTAGTTTGTTGTTGTTGGTAACAACATTGTTCTTAATTATTAATTTAGATCAGAATGGCTTCAGTTTTCTGACTAGCCTGTGGCTTGCATTGCAACAGCTGTAATACTAATTCATTGCATCACTTTGTGGTTACTGGTTATCCTCACTGCCAAGCACCAAACAGATTCGCAATTTGTCTGAGTCTGAGTAATACATATAAAACCATCAAAATAGTTATATATTCATTTATGCATGCAGCGCATTGAGTTTAATCTTGTGATCTCTTATATTTACTTTGCATAATTTATCAGTGACCACATCACAGTCTAATCTGTGTAACAAACGTTACAGTTTTTTCAATAATTTTAGGGCATTTTTTAAAATTTTGTTTAATTTGATCATTTGATTCAAACATGTATCTAAACAGGGCCTCAGATGGTCAAATCATCTGGAACATTTCTCATCAGTTCACACAGTTCACAGCCTCTTTTCAAACTTAAACATGACAGCAAAAAGCAAGTATTTACGAGCACCCAGAATTTATCAGCAAAGCATTTCACACTTACCCCATATTTCCTGAGTACTCTTGGTGTAAAGGTCTTGTAGTGACTAAGGTTTCTGAGCTGCACTGTCAAATGAATGAAAGAGCACAGAAAAGCACGTGGCCACAGTTTGGGAGTTTTTATGGTAACATTTGCATTTGGGGGTTTGATTTATACATTTTGAATGTGAAACTGTATTTTTGCTGGTATTCAGTTTTGTTTAGTCAACACTTGAATACATGAGGAGAGGAGTGGTCTGTAATAGGCTCGCCCTCAGTATCTCACACAAAAGTGACCAAAGCTCTATATAGTTTGTCCTGAGGGCTAGCTCCAGGTAGAGTACTGGTTACTGTTTTTGCTGTATCAAAGTGTCTGTGTCTTTTTTGGTCATTACAGTTTTTTTTGTTTTTTTTTTCAATCGCTTTGACATACTTCTGATAAATCATGCCCCAAAAGCAAGTTTTATCATCAAAACTCCGAAACTATGGTCATGTGTTTTCATGTGCTTTTTATTCATTTGACAGTGCAGCTCAGAAGTCTTAGTCTTTCTCTCAGGGACCACAGAGAATCACTGGTTTAGTGTAGTCTGACAATGGACTTCACACTTAACACAGATGCATTTGGGGTTAGAAGAGTTTCTTTTTTTTTCAATATATTGTAACATTTTTTGTTTAAAAAAAATTAAATGAAATAGAAGTACAAGTGCTGTGTGAACTGATGAGAAACTTTTAAATGGTTTGACCATCTGAGCCCCTGTTCAGATACATTTTTGAATGAAATGATCAAACTTAACCAAGTTTCAAATAATGTGCTAAAACTATTGACAGAAAAAAAAAAAAAAAAAAAAGTAAGTTAGAGCAGAAATTAATTCAGAATTTGTTAGTGAAAATCTTTTATTTTTGCTGTTGTCTTTAGAGACGGAGACAGTATTTTGAAGCCAGTCTAATGAAGATGGGGATGGAGCTGGAGGCCACACGATCTGTGAGTGAACAATTCACTGTGCTGGTTTTATATTTAGGGCTCTGTGATTATTACTGTATTAAAAATAAAATTATAACTTTGAGCATTCCTAAAATTATCTGTTGAGTTTTATTTATTTTTTTTATACAGTAGGTAAGGTTTGATTGTGCAGTCTTATCTTGTCAACAGGAAAGTCAGAATTGAAAGGCTGTGTAGGACCAAGTAAAATGTATAAATAAAAAAACACCATCAATAACAATGACATCATCACATGTGAAGTATTTAGTTGTTTGTAAAATAAAAATAGTTTTATTCCAAACAAACTGCAGCTACAACATTAGTTTTTGTTGTGTGGCTATGATTAAAGTACCATCACTTCCACTGAATGCTTTGTCTGTGTTTTGAAGGTTGTGGATGAGAAGCTGATGTTCCTTAAAATCCACATGCCCTGGGACGTCCTGTGCACATACGCTGAGGTCCTCCACATTAAACTGCCCATCCAGCCCAATGACCTGTCCTGCCGCCCATCTCTGTGGAATTATCTCTCTTGTGTCACCAAAGCATTTTACCCAGACGAAGACCTAATCAGCAAAGAGACAGAGTACTTCACTGCTCCATTTGAGAAGGCCCGTCTGGAGTACTTTTACATTAAAGACAAGGACATGTTTTTTACACCGTCCATGAGGAGCAGGATGGTAAGATTTTCAAGTCTTTTTGTGGATTGATATAGTTTGTCACACTAGTAAATGAATACTTTGACTTAAAGTTCCACTGTTTTCTACTTTTTAAAATTCAATTTATTCAGGTGTATAGATTGCAAAATGCCTTGAAAAACATGCATTCTTGCTCTGCTTTTTACATTTGACCTTCGGTTTTCCCCCATCAACTCAAAACATACACCAGGTACATCCTCCACTGATTTTAGTCCTGACTAAACTTAATAACAAAATCATGGAGATGGGTCCGCAGGCCACTGCTCCTGAGGAGATGCCCCAACAGTATTGAAAGATGGGTATAATGAAAAGGAATACAATAAAATGTACCTTAACAGGCAAAACAATAGCATTTCCATGGAGATGCCCTAATTAGAGGCCCCTCCACAGTACAAGTTACATAATGCATTATTAAGAGACAAGATAATTCAAATTGGACATTGATTAGGTTTTACTTTTGTTACAGAGTTTCTTGTCTCTACCTGTATTCACTTTATCCTTTTAATTGTTTTCTATTAACGCTGCAAGAGTAATCATAATCAAATCAAAATTGGAAGCAATAATAATTTACAAAGGTTTGAGTTACGATCTATTGCTCCTCTCTATAAACAACAAAACAGTATGTATATATGTATGTAAGACCTGCTAAGGATGTTAAGATTGTCAGGTAACAGGAATATCAAAGAGGAGGCTTATGGAAGTTTGTTTGGTCCTATACATGATCACAACCAAATACATGAGTCTCTTTTTGCGTTGTTTACACAGAAATAAATAATATGTGTTTTTTTCTTAGGCATTCTACATTCTGAGCCGTGCACCCTATGAAATACGAGGGATCGTTAAGAAGTTTGGCATCACTAAACTCTTGGACGGTGGCGTGTACAAAGCTGCTTATCCCCTACATGATGTAAGTGACATGTTTTTTCAATATTACACACAGCCACATTTAGCACATTTGTATTTCATTCTTTTGTATATTTTTGTAGTGTAGGTTTAATGTAAAGTCCACTGAAGAAGATTGTCCCAACGAGAGGTATCTTTTATTTCAAGAATGGGCTCATCCCAAAAGCTTCTACAAGATGCAGCCTCTAGACTTAATAAGGTAACTGATTGTCATTTATGGCGTGTAATTTTGCTTCATCCACTACTTACAACCATTTTTGCGGAGCTTTGGATTCAGTAACGTTGACTTGGCTAAGTTAAAATAGAGTGGGCAATCACCATAAGTCAGTAGTATGAGGTTAATAGGCTTACATTAGTTTTGTATTGTTTGATTTGGGGAAGAATGATAGAGCAAATTTCCTTATTGGAAGGACAGTGTGTTGTGTAATGGAAAAAAAATCTTTGAGGCTATTGTGATTTCAAGACTGTGTTTTTAAAATCATCAAAAGCAGGAAGCACCAGTCTAAATGACAGTGTTTTGTTCCATAGAAAATATTATGGAGAGAAGATTGGTATTTACTTCGCCTGGTTGGGATTCTACACGATAATGCTCGCTGTGGCCGCTGTGGTGGGACTCGGCTGTTTCATTTATGGATACAAGACACAAGAAACCAGCACCTGGAGGTTCACACTCAAATAAAACTGATTACTATAAAAGCTTAAAGGTACACTAAGTAACTTTTCTGCTGAAGGGTCTGCCACCTGCTGTTCCCATGGAGATGTTGTTGCTTCTCTTGCCCCACAGTATGGCTGTATTACACTTCTGTTTTATACAGCCTGTTAGATCTGTGGAGAGGTGTGTCCCTGCTCTCAGAATGAATTTGTGCTTTTAAGGTATTTAGTTAGCAATAGAAATAGTGATAAATAAAGATTAATTAAAGATGAATAAAAGCACGATAGACAGTTTTAACGCCCTACTGTGGGACATTCTAGGCAAAGGAAAAACATCTCCATGGAGATAAGCAGATGAAGGAGCTCCACCAGAAACGTTACATTGTGCACTTTTAGTTCTCACCAAATGTTCTAACTTTTGTCCTGTTTTTATTTCTGTAGTAAAGAGGTTTGTGACCCTGATATCGGAGGGCAGATTGTGATGTGTCCACAGTGTGACAAACACTGCAAATACTGGAGGTTGAACAGCACGTGTGAGGCTTCAAAGGTGAGCTACAGATTTAAACAATGTCACAGTATTTGCCTTACATGAGTATTCAAATCACTGTTAACTTCTACTCTTATCTCTCTTTATAGAAACTTTGTATATTTGACAATTTTGGAACACTAGTTTTTGCAGTTTTCATGTCTATATGGGGTGAGTTTTTGTAATCTGGCAATTTATCTTCATCTAATATTTGCAAATGCATTGTTGACTGCACACATTTGAAGGCTTTTTAAGAAGAAAGTGTACACTGTCATGTTTCCCATTTTATAATATGAGTTCCCATTTTAGAATATAACGAATATGTCAAAATATTAAATTGAAAAATAACTTAAAATCCAGTGGGCAACATATTTTAAAAAAGAGCCATTTCTGACACTGCATGTAATCAAAGTTCTTTCCAGTACCATCAGAGTAAATCTAAACAAATACATATTTAAAAAAAACATTGTTATTCAATAAAAACAGGCATATAAATTACCATCATATTACCAAGTATTAAAAATGCAGATTGAATAAAGTTTGGGCCTGGAATTTGAACTGTAGTATAGTTTGTTTTTGAACACTGCCCTAGTTGCTTTAATGCAGATTGTATTTTGCCATTTCTTCCTGACATATTTTACACATATTAAGTATTTTTTTCCTGCTCTTGTTTATTTCCTTCCTGTAGTGACCCTCTTCCTGGAGTTCTGGAAGCGTTACCAGGCGGAGCTCGAGTACGAATGGGACACGGTTGAGTTTCTGGAGCAGGAAGAGCCACCTCGCCCGGAATACGAGGCCAAATGCATCTATGAACAGAAGAACCCTATCACCGGGGTAATCAACATTTAATACATAATTAGAATAGGATAAACTTAAAGGTGCACTGCGTAACTTTTCTGAGGGTCTGCTACCTGTTTGTCTCCATGGAGATATTATTGCTTTACCTGGAATGTTCCATGGTATGACATCAAACATATCCATCTAGCATTTATTCGTTACAGGTGTTTCTATTGCTGAAAAATAGAATCATTCCTTCTGTGATTTCTGTGACTTTCCACAGATCTGAATTGTAATGTAGCATAGTGCTGTGACCTGCTTGTCTCCCGTGTGATAGACAGGATTAATCTGTCCTGTGGAACAAAGCAATAACATTTCCATGGAGACAAGCAGTTGACTCTCCACTAGAAATGTTACACAGTGCACCTTTAATGTGACATAAACAGCCAAATAAAACAGCACTTTACCTTAAGGTTGACTTATATAGAGCTTTATATATACTTGCTTCTAAATATATGTTTTTTTTGTGATTATATTGTGATCTGACCTAACCCTTGAGTGATGTTTTTCTACCCCATTTGCTACATTTTCTACTCTGTTTGAATGTTGACTTGGAAAATTCCTTTTTGGTGATACTGAAACTTACATAACTCTTGTTTACACAAGTAAGATGAGTACAATCTTTGCTTTGATACTGCACCTAGATTACTTTGTATATAACTTTTAGTTTGGTATTTTAGATTTTACAGCACCTTTCAGTATCTTGCAGTACTCTTTATAATACTCTTGGCAATATATCGATACACCAGTACCGGATATCGATACTGTATCATCACATTAAACGATACAATATATTGATATTTTGATATTTTTGCACACCCCTAAAAAAAATTGTATTGTTCATATTTAGGTAAAAGAAAGGGTGCCTTATTCAACATGTGGAAAATGCATGCGTTTATCAGTAGGAATGGGAACTGTGTTGTTCTGGGTAAGTTTTGGCAACCACAATTTGCTTCTGATTAATCTTCATTTTATTCACTAGTTTATTTCATAATTTTTAGATTATGCTGATTATCGCGTCAGTTGTTGCAATCACCATCTATCGGCTGGCTGCTTTCTTCGCCTTCTCCACCACTCTCCGCACAGAAGACCTCAAAGAGCTGGAGCCACTGAAGGAGTATGTGACGCCCCAAATGGCCACTTCTGTTACTGCATCTCTCATCAATTTTGTCGTTATAATGATCCTAAACATGCTGTATGAGCGAGTGGCCATCTGGATCACTGACTTTGGTATGTCTAAAGTTAATTATTGATCCTAAGTTTGTTGTTTTGGGCATCTTTACCAACACATTCACTATCACTCCTTCAAATAAGCTAAATCTGGTCTAGAGACAAACGATCATAATAATATTAAGGGAATTGTTTTTATCAATGACTTGTCTATTGTTTTAAAAGTGCACTATGCAGCTTTTCAGATAGATTCTCCATGGAGACATTGTAGCTTTCCTAGAATGTTCCACAGTATGCCATAAAACACACAAAAAGTAAATGACAGGTATTTTTATTGCTAAAAAAACACGCATTCTCATTGTTAGCATTGCCTCTCCTCAGGTCTAACCTCTAAATTGGCATTGTAGGCTCACTTGCTTGTTTCTTTGGAAACAATTTTTAATGTGATTGTAGAAAATTCCAGGAAAAGCAAAGACATCTCCACAGAAATGAGCAGTTGGCAAACCCTTCATCGGAAAAGTCACATAGTACAAAAAAAACCCAAAAAACATTAAATATAGTTGCAAGATATATCATTTTGGGATAAAATTTTTTAATTATTTTGTGCCACTTATTTGGGCATCCTTTCACCTTAAACAAGAAAAATATCACCTCCAGCTTTTACTTTTACTACAGTTTCCCCAATGTGGGAAAAATACTTTCCTCTTATTTTAGTTCCTGTCTATAAATGGTGCTAATTTGCCTTTATCAGTAATGTCAATCAAGTTTTTTGTAATTCTTGCACACACCCTTCTCACTTCATTCCAATGTACGTGTTGACCATAGTGCTGACTAGCATTTTATGATGTATTTAATCCATCTTACTTTTCCTTTTTTATGTTGTTTTTGTACAGAGCTTCCTCGAACCAGAACAGAATATGAGAACAGCCTGACTTTGAAGATGTTTCTCTTTCAATTTGTCAACTATTACTCCTCCTGTTTCTACATCGCATTTGCCAAAGGGAAGGCCGTGGGCTATCCTGGACAGCCTGTGTATTTACTTGGAAAATATCGGAATGAAGAGGTAAAGACCATCTATTTCAATACTTAGACACTTACTTTAGGTTCAACTCCACACTGTTGAACATTATAAGAAAGCAATAACCTCTCCATGCAAAGAAGCAACTGGTGGACCCTCCGCCACAAATATTTCAATGTGCGCCTTTGAGATATATATGTCTGTCAATGGGGTTTTGTTATGTTTAATACAATCCTGTTCTGAAATGTATGCAATTATTTTATTAGTTTAATAGTTTACACAAAATTGTAATTACATATTCCAAAATGATTCAACCATGTAACTAACATTTTGCCCTTTTACAGTGTGATCCTGGTGGTTGTCTCATTGAACTGACCACTCAGTTGTCTATCATCATGGGAGGTAAAGCTATCTGGAATAACATCCAGGAGGTCTTGTTACCGTAAGCATTAGAAACAGTTTTCTTATTTCAGACCATGTACAATGTATTTTCAGACAATACTGTAACTTTAAACGTCTCAAATGTGAAAACCTACAAGTAATATAATATTCTTCTGTCTCTGCAGTTGGCTGAAAAACCTGTATGCTCGTCACTGCAGCGGTCAGAGCATCACCTCAGATAAAGGCTGTCCTCGATGGGAACAGGACTACCACCTCCAGGCTAATTCCAAATTAGGACTTTTTTATGAGTACCTCGAAATGGGTAAAACAGTTTTTAGCTATATGTACTGTGAATTTAGTACTCCCTTGTCTCCATGGAGATATTAATGCCTTTCCTGGAATGTTGCACTTGCACAACATGGCACTAAACTCATATAGCTCCATGAAGACAAACAGGTGAAACCAATAGCCAGTTTACAGGTGAGACCTGTTAATTCACAATTTTCAGGTATTTTTGAAAATGAAAACACCTTAAACCACCTTAAACACCTTATAAACTGTGGAACATTTCAGGCAAAGCAATAATATTGTAATAATAACACTGAAGTATATAATAATATATATGAGAAAGAGGACAGACCCCCCACCAAATAAAATATGTACACCTTTAAGACACCCTCGTATTATTTATTTTGTTTATTTAAAACAAGAACAATGCACAGAAAACATTAATCAAAGAGAGGAAAAATACCCTTTGCCAGATTTAGCTACAAGCTCCTATAAATTTAAAACATAAATATAGCCTTGGCATTTCTCTAGATCAGCTTGTTCTCTGATCTCAACAGCTTTCTATCATTAAATACACTGTCTCTCCTCAGTAAACCATTTATTTTATTTATTTAGCCTTTAATTTTAACCAGGAAGCCCCTTGAAATAAGTATCCTTTTCAACTTTTTAGCAGTACTATGGGGTGAGTTGGAACTTGTCTTATATTTTATGATGTCTCTTACAGTGATCCAGTTTGGCTTTGTTACCCTGTTTGTGGCCTCCTTCCCTCTGGCTCCGGTCCTGGCTCTTGTCAATAACCTGTTTGAGATCCGAGTGGATGCCTGGAAAATCACCACTCAGTTCCGGCGCATGGTCCCAGAGAAGGCCAGCACCATCGGAGCCTGGCAGCCCATTCTCCAGGGAATCGCTATTCTCGCTGTGGCCACAAATGTGAGTGATGTGGGGTTATCGATCAGACTTAGAGTAACATAACAGTGATTCCTTCCATATGAAGTAGCAATTATAAACTTACATTTACAAATCTACAAATCTACATCAATACTAATCCAGGACTTATACAACATTGGCCAATACTCACATCATAGATTGTAGTGATGTATGTATGCTATGTATGCGATACCAGTAATGTTTGTTTTGATCCGATACCAAATAGTATGGGAAGTATTGCGTTAGTGATTCGATACATTACTGTTTTAACTTGCTGTCATTGGATTTGCTCCGCCCTGCTCTTTGAACTAATCAAAAAAGTACATTTGTGTGTAGATAAATTAAAATATGCGCAATTTATTTCTGAAATTGACTAACATTTTTAGTGTCAATATTTTTTTTGCAAAACTAGACTAAACCAGGAGTATAACCAATATAAGATGGAACTGTTCTTTAACCTGGTAGCTCACCATATGTGCATAAAGCTCTGTATAACAGAAGCTGCTCTCTCCACATTAATAGAACCTCTACTGACAACATTAGACAGATGAATGAAAATTGAATTGTCGTAATCTGATTTTCTGCTTCCCCAGGCCATGATCATTGCTTTCACGTCGGACATGATACCTCGTTTGGTGTACTACTGGTCCTTCTCTGTGTATCCTTATGGAGAAAAAGGCCGTAACACTATGGAGGGCTACATCAACAGCTCCCTGTCCATTTTCAACATCAGTGACTTCACCGAACAAAGCCGCCCTCTGAGCCCCACCAACAATATCACCACATGCAGGTAAAGCTCATCTGTTCAAAACATACATTAAATTATTGACTGTCATTTCTGAACAGTAGTTATGTACAAGTTATTTTTGATTATCTTTTTTCAATTTATGAAAATAAATAAATAAATAATTTATACTTAATAATAGTAGTGTATATTTAAAAACAAGATATTATAAGGAAACTGTACATTTCATAAAGTACTAGTAGATGTGTCATAGCTGGCTCTACATCGTTTATATGCTCTGCTTATATAACCTATAATTTACTTGTTCTCTTTTAGGTATCGAGATTTCCGGTATCCCCCTGGGCACCCTCAGGAATATGAGCACACAATTTACTATTGGCACGTGGTAGCTGCCAAAATGGCTTTTATAATTGTCGTAGAGGTAAATACATAATTATGAAATTAAAGAAACAACCCCATGAAAATGTCTGATTCCATAAGTTAAAGCTATAATTGTGTTTTTTCTCCTCAGCATATTGTTTACTTCACTAAGTTCATCTTATCCTATTTGATCCCTGATGTCCCTTACGCCGTCAAAGAACAAATGAAACGGGAGAAATACTTGACGCAGGTTATTCTCCATGAGACCAACCTCAAATTGGTGACCAAACGTTTAAAATCTCCAGAAGAAGAAATAACGGAAGGGACAATTCAAAACTTGTCGGCCGAGGAGATGGATAGTGACTGATTTTTTTAAGGTTTGTTACAATACAGAGAAATGTATGTGAATGTATATAGATTACAGAGTGATGCTGTGCACATTTGCAAAATACATAATGTATAGAATTTTGGCACTTTTTTATACAAAATCAATCAAGTTCAACATTTGTGTGTGTCTTCTCTTCAGATAATAGTGCATTGCCAAAACAGTATTCATTGTTTTTGCCCTCCACCTCTGGACCAGTCTAGACCAGCACTTCTCAAACTTTTTACACCAAGTACTGCCTAAGAACATATTCAAATCTCTGGGCACCACCAAATCAAAATCAGCTCAAAATCAGAACAATGGAGATCTAAACTAGACAACAAATGTGTACAACTGACTCTAGATTAAATAAATACAAGAACTGTAGAGAATCTTGCATACCAGAAGGACATTGTGTATACCTCAGTTTGAGAACTACTGGTCTAGAACATTATTGCAACCTGTTATGAACGATCATGGAAGTCAACTTCATCTTACTAGAATTTACTAATTTGTGTAATTAATTATGTATTTTAATTGATATTTGTAGTTTTATATAAGTGGTTCATGTGATTGTCTTTCATGCTTAATGACAATGTTAACACTCCATCTATTTAATACTGTATTAATATAGTATTTTAAGTCAATAGTAAGCTCTGATAAACTATGTCGTCACTGTTGTGTTGTGCTGAAATATTTGTCTAGCTTTCATAGTCAAAATGATGAGTTGAGATCTAAAAAGCCATATGAACAGATCAAGCTCACAAATTATGACTGAGATGCCTGTTACACCTTTTGTTTCCGCTATTGTATGGTCTTTACCTAAGGAAGTCCTTTTTCAATTTGTATATGGGCATTCTGTGTTGTTCTTTCTAAGCACCTAAATATTGACCACTATACAAAATAATGACCACTTGTTTCAGTAAACATTTTCAATTTGTATTATTCAATCACAATTTTAAAATGACAGTTATTTTTGTGGTATTATCATTTGTACAATGGTACTGTAATTGCCACTGTATTATGAAAGAATTAATGCCATATTTTTGCTGATAAAACTTTTGTATAAAAAAAACCAAAAAAAACAAACATGTGTCTTATGTGTTAATTTATATATATAAATATGAAGTAGCAAAATACACAAAAATAAATAAACAAAGACTTTGTAACAGACGTAGTTTTTACTGAGAACTGCATTTCTGGCTTTTATTTTGAAGAATTTGTGACGTCATTGATCCGCGACAGTGGCACTGCTCACGTGTGCGCTTTGCCGTGCTACATCAGCTGTGTGTTTATTTCTTCATTCATTTGACTATATTTTGTTAGATTTCTTATATAAATAGGATTCATCATGAGCTCACAGATTACTTGTGTAGGGTGGGTTAAAAGAGGCGTCGCCAAAGAAACTCCGGACAAAGTAAGCAAACTGTCAAGCTAAACGATTGTCTAACATGTCAACAACTTTATTTTAATGACAACTTGCCTATTTACAACCAGTTTTGTGCCTTTACTTTTATCTTTGCTTATTTCTGTGTGTGTGTGTGTGTGTGTGTGTTTGTTTGTTTGTTTGTTTGTTTGTTTGTGTGTTTAATATAATTATAGTTTATGGTTGATCAGGAACAATGTCTAGTATCCTAAACTTGTGTTTCAGGTTGAACTTAGTCAAGAAGAGCTGCAGCGCATCATTACTGAAACAAAGGAAGAGCTTGGGTATTTTATGTTCCAGCTAAAACCTACTGGTGTCTGTATTTTTTGAGTAATGTTTGTTTTAACTTTTAAAATAGTGAGCAAGCTCTTGTGGAGGAGGATGAAGATGAAGGAATCACTGATGACCTTAATTCAAACAGCGCCAATACAGATGAGACTGTTCAAAGTAATGAGAATGAAGGAGAGAAGGACGAGGACGATGAGTTGGCGGAGTATGGGCTGGACCAATATGATGAAGAGGATACAGGTGAGAAGTTGTAATAATCTAGAGTAGTGCATTATGCACTGTGGTATGCAAGATCCTCAGTTGGGCCACATGTTTGTCCTCCTCTGGATAATTTCATGGTTGGGATTACGTTGAAAATTGATTAGATCTGGAATAGTTCTGTTATTGTTTATTTGATCCCCACTGGCATCTGCAGTGTACATTTCCTGAAATAATTTAAAATTGTAACTTATTAATTGAAATTAATAACTATTTCCTGAAATGTAGTAAAATAATGATTTCAGGTACAACATGAAATTACATCAGTACCAGCTCACACTTCCCTTATCCATATGTTTTCAAACATTTGTTTACAATAGTGCTTTTTGAGTTGTGTTGAATTATACATTTGATTAAGATCGTGTGGTAGTGGTAATGGTCACTAAACCTTTGACATTCAGTGACATACAAACAAGATATTCTAGTCAAAGGTAAAAGAGTTGTTAAAAGAGGTTTAGTCCGCTTTTAAGATGTTGTAAAATAATTTAAGTGCATAGGATATTGCTAATTTAACATAATTATATTGCATATCACTTAATTTCTTGAAAGCAAAAGTAGTCTTGATAACTTCTTCTGGTTTCTTCTTTTTGACTGGTAAATACAGTGACCAATGACTATTTCAATATTGTATACAAGATAAAAATGCATACCCATTTTTTTATTTAATAATTTTCATTTTTCTTGTAAAGTCACAAATAATCTTGGAGACAGTCTTGCTGGTCTCACAGTGTTCTCCTCCAATGAAGAGGATCCTTACATCACCATCAAAGATACTGTAAGAATCTACACTGCTTTTTAATATTAAATCTACAGATTATTGCTTTGATTGTCTTGTTATCTGATATGACATACTAAAATATCATCATTGTTTCCTTCTCTTTATAGGATCAGTACGAGCGTGAAGATTTTGAGATAAAACCCAGTGACAATCTAATTCTTGCTGGCAAAACAGAGAAGGATTGTTGTAATTTGGAGATTTTTGGTAAAAAAAAATTGTTTAAATTCTCATTTTTATATAGTTATTATTTTGTATGTCAAATGTGTTATTATTGTTTATTTGCAGTCTACAACTCTGAGGAGGACTCTCTGTATGTGCATCATGATATCCTGTTGCCAGCCTATCCTCTTTGTGTTGAGTGGCTGGATTTTGATCCAAGTCCTGGAGAAGGACCAGGTAATGATCTCCAGTGTGTCATTTTGTTTATAATTAAAATATTTAGTTTCACCAACAACAATAAGTTCACAAGATTAATCACAGAAACAAAACCACAATTTGACTGGTCACCTCAATGCCACATTTTATATACAACCTACTAGCCCTGTAGTTTTGAACTCTACAAATATGCATCCCTATTGTTCAGTTGATTAATTTTAACTTCTTGTTTTGTTTGAAGGTAACTATGCTGCAGTGGGTAATATGACTCCTCAGATAGATGTCTGGGATCTAGATGTAGTGGACTGCTTAGAGCCAGCTTTTTCACTTGGAAGCAAAAAAGCTGCAAAGAAGAAAAAAAAAACCAAGAAGGTATACACACTCATGTACCTTCCTATGCAAAGGAATTTAATTTAATCTAAAAGGTGAATGTGTTTTTCATTGTTTTCACAAAATATATGTACCACATATTTATGTTTTGTACCAGGGGGCGACAGCACAACCTGCTGAAGGACACACTGATGCCGTGTTAGATTTGTCATGGAACAAAGTTGTAAGGTTAGTCGTTTAGATTGAGAAAATGATGTATTACCTATTTATGTTTTACACTAACTTTTTTTTTTTTTTTTTTGGCATAGAAATGTTTTGGCTAGTGGTTCAGCAGATGACACAGTTATCTTGTGGGATCTAACACAGGGGAAACCAGCTACAACACTGAGGAAACACACTGATAAGGTAATCTGTATTACAAAACATTTTGTGTCTGTGGCTGATTATTCTTAAATGTGTTCATTTCTCAAATTTCTTATAATCCTAGGTTCAAACATTAGCTTTCCATCCATTTGAAGCACAGACATTGATATCAGGATCTTATGACAAGTGAGTATTTTGAGGGTTTGTGGTCTTCTCTGTCACACAAATGAATTAATGATTCATAACTGTATGCACTCACTAGTATTAAAACATGGAGTTGTACATAACATGGCAAATGTGTGGACCCAATCCCTAAAAATGGTTCAACATGTGGATGTCTGAATGTGTCTGAACGTCAATTCAACTGATTGCTATTAACTTCAGTCTACAGCTATTTGTATTAAATAAATACATAACCATAAATATAAATGAATATTTACATGCGTATTTTTACAGGACCGCTATTCTTTATGACTGTCGTAGTCCAGATGACAGCTACAGGAGTTGGAGGTTTAGTGGTCAAGTCGAGCGACTAGTCTGGAACCACTTTTCACCTTGTAATTTTCTGGTAGGTTTTAAGTCTTATATTACCATATTTTCTGGGCTATTAGGCACACTCTTAAGCCTCCAACCCCATCAAAAAACGACTGCGCCCCCCGCAATCCACAGTGCAGTATACACGAATCCACTCGGGTGTCTCGTCATGACTTCAGCAAACTACAAAGCCGCACCACCTGCAGCGCACGCAAACATGCATTAAGCAAACAGCGACTGCTCAGTGAAACACACCCGCAGCCACACTCATCACTTCACACGGAGGAATGGAATGGAGGAACGACACAAAAAAGCTAATGCAATGTGCCACTCTGAGCCACAATTGAACAACTGAGTCACTGCGAACACGCCAACAATCCAGCGGTCCCAGACAACACCCTCCCTACGCAGCACCAAACAAAATTCCAATTGAACCATCCAACTGTTGTGTTTTGTTTGAAGTCCGGTGCGGTTTATTTGTGAAAAAAGTTCGAAAATAGACCATTTACTGACAGTGCGCCTTATAATCAAGAGACCTAATAGCCTGGAAAATACGGTATCTTATGTTTTATTATTATTTATTTAGTTAGCTTACAATGATGTCTTTCTGTTTTTATTTGTATGGTAATTGTGCGTGTTTTAGGCCAGCACTGAAGATGGGTTTGTTTATTGCCTTGATGCACGTTCAGATAAACCTGTTTTTACTCTGAGGGCACATGATGAAGAAGTGTCAGGTTTGTGAAAATGAAAACTTTCAATCAACTGCATTGCCATTTCTATTTTCTAATCTTCTGTTTTTTGCAGGTTTGGACCTCAGTAGTCAAATAAAAGGATGCTTGGTTACTGCATCAGCAGATAAACATGTTAAAATCTGGGACATTTTGGGAAACAAACCCAGTCTAGTGCACACAAGGGATATGAAGATGGTATGAGTTTCTGTATTGATAATGTGTAATATTATTTGTGTCATCATTAGCTGACTTTGTTGTTCTCTTTGGACAGGGCGTAATGTTTTGTTCATCATGCTGCCCTGATTTGCCTTTTGTCTATGCTTTTGGAGGACAAAGGGAAGGTTTAAGAGTTTGGGATATCAGTGATGTTGCTGCAGGTACAGTCAATGATGAGTTATATTGTATTAAATTAAACTTGCATTTGCTAAGTGTCTCTCTCTCTCTGTTTACAGTGAAAGAGGTGTTTGGGAGCCGGGAGCGATTGGTAGTGAACACTGGATCACAGGCAGCCAGCACTTCTGGTTCAGCAGAGATGGATGTCTCTTAAAAATGATTTACTAATAACCATTTTTATACACACAGATGTATATGAACCTGAAAAAATAAAAAGCTTTTCAGAAAGCTTGTCAAAACTACCAGGCTGGCTGGTAATCAAAATATAGCTGATAATTGAATCGAAATGAAATGTATTTGTAAAAAGACTTTATGATACCGGTATGTTGAACATGGCTCACATTATGCTAATATGGTTTGATTTTTCTTCAATATATTATTCCCCATAAATTAAACTATTATTAATTTGCATCAGGAGTAGCGTAACATAGAAAATGCTGTATTTAAATTGTTCAATAAATATTACTGATGAAAAAACTGAAAGTATTGAATGTGTGTACTAAAAATTATAAGTATGATTTATCACTGTTTTCTCGTAAGATATAGAAACATTTTATTGAATTATAAACTTTTGGTGGAACGTGATACGTTGACAGGCGTGCTACACCGGAGTCATAACACTGATGCACATCATAAACTAGCAGAGCACCGGGCATGGCTTCGGGTCATTTATGCAGGCTTCATAGCCATTTAACACGATTGTTTTGCGGTACAGCAATACGGAATGCACAAAGTAAGACGATAATTGTTGTCATTTATTCTGTTGTTTGTTCAGCAATACAAAAATACAGCAGCTTTTTCTTCTGTGACATGATGGTAGGCTATTAGCTAAGGCTAATGTCATGGTTAGCCGTGTGGAAGCATTGGTGATGGACGAGTCGATCCATAGCAAACTTCAGTTAATAATTAATTAATAAATATTTATTAAACTTGGATATTAATTTAGGTGACCATAAATCTAGTTGGCAGTGTGTTCTTTGAAGATGGCGCTATAAAGTCATGTAGACTGTTGTTTGTATTAGCCAGGCTATCGTTGGTGCAGTGAGTGACTATTTGACAAAACTATTCCTTTTATGGCCTTGATGACCCTAATGTTTTTGTTTGTCAGCAGCATGTCTGGTGGCAGTTCGACAGAAGAATACCCTCCCCCCACTTGATGATCCTAGTTATTGGTATGTCATTTCACGTTAAACTTGATTGTGAAACTGGATCTCATGTACATTTGTTGTTTACGTCTTGGTTTTAGTAACGTGCAAATTGGTGTCACTACAAATGGGAAGACAGTAGTATGCTATCACCCCACAGCTGACATTCCTTATGAGCTCACTCAGGTAAGATGGCATATCTAACAATGTTCTCATAATATTCAAATAATGTTCAAGTATTCCAAAATCACACTTTGGCACCAGATAGTATTGTACTAATATATATTATACTAAATGGCACTATGTTACTCATTTGAGCAAGTATAGATACTTGGAAAAAGTCTGAGAAATTACCATTTCCTGAATAGCTTCAGAATGATCTTAACTTTATCAGGACAAGTACTTTGTAGAACCATATAGACTAGTATATGCCCACTAGGGCCCATGGACAACTGGGGGATTACAGATATAAGGCCACATGGTAATGTAAAAGAAAACACTATAATTCAATGTTGAAAATTATATTCTATCATCTAAATTGTGTTTTTTACTATCATTGTGGTATTGGTATTGGTATTGGTATTGGTATTGGTATTGGTATTGGAATTGAGATCGAGTCTATTCCTTATTATCTAAATAGAGTTTGAAATTTTTGTATGACATTTTGGTGGGGGACTAAATCAGCACCCTAACAAGCCTAAGCCTAACAGCCAGCCTGAACATTTGTTTCCAAAGCTAGAGTCTGGTACAAACATCTTTGATTTTTAGGCATTTCTATTTTTACTTTGTCCTGATAAATAAAAACAATTAAATAATTAAAAATTAGATATCTCTTTGTTTTGTACCTGGTTTAGTCAGGGGCCAAGCCCTGGTTTTCAAGTATTTGGAGCTGTAATAAATTCACTGATTAATTTTTAGTACAATAATATAGCTTCACTTGTGATTGTACTCTCTGTAGCCCATTCAACGACCAGACCCTGTGAGTGATGTTCCAGACACACATGATCAGGTTCTAAAAGCCCATTTGAGCAAAGAGGTGCTGAAGGAGAATAAGGGGCCATCCATTGAGGAGCTGAGCAAGATGTTTTTCACTACTAAACACCGATGGTATCCAGTGGGACAGTAAGTATACAGATATTTGTTTTATCCTGTGTTTATATATGGTATACCTGTACCACTCAATATTTCTTAATTTACAAACACCAACGTTCCAGATGTTTATATTACTCCATTTAGCAAGTTTATTCCAATTGGTATTTTGAATGATGAATAGAGAAATATCATATCAGTCTTTTACTAATTAGGATTGTTTTCTTATACTTACAAAATAATAACATGTTTAGTCTTATGAAATAATGTTTTATTTATGTATCATTATTATTATTTTTATTACAGGTACCACATGAGACGCAAAAAGAAGGGTCCAAAGGACAGAGCTACATGGGCATCATAATCCAGACTTTCTTTGTATATAATAAACTGTTAAAAACTGATGCAATTGTCTTTTTAGTGAAGCTAGTAATGACGCCACGTCATGCTTTATGTAGACTACTTATGTTATATACTTAGTTAAAAACATATGTCTAAACTCTGTCTAAACTCATTATACTCTCAACTACAAAAGAAAGGTCTGCATCATTGTTTACTATATTGCACTGCTTCTTGACAGTGCCTACATATTTCTACATTTTGTACATATCTGCTTGGTACTTCCTGACTGTGGTGTACACAGATGTTCTTACATCATACACTCAAGAGGTTCAAAAACAGGAGACATTATTAGAGTTAAATTACTTTATTGTCTTTGTAGATAAAAATTTGACCCATACTTCAATGTCAGTTAATATTGGATGACTTTTGCACACTGTGGTGGGGACTAAAGATTTTAAAAATGTACAGGCCACAGGTTTTCATAAAATAAAGCCATTTACACTAATACGTCATCTGAAGCCACCGGAAGTGAGAGCTCCGGCCCCGCCCACGCAGCTCAGTCCGAATCGAGAGAAATCCACGGCTAAAAATACAACAGCTAACACAAGATGAGCGGTCTGTCGCGTAGGATTATAAAGGTACACACAACTGCACCGTGCATAGATGATCATTTACAATGTACCAGCGCACAGTACATATTGTATATAAATATACAGGCCTAAAATGGGAGAAAACGGACATGGAGCCTTGGCGGTGTTAGCCACCGCTTATCGTGCTAGTTATCACGCTAGCTCATTTTGGCAAGCGATAGGTTTGCTATTTTCTCTTAGACGAATCTGATCTATCTTTTCCTTGGTAATTTTGGTAAATTAACTGTATTTAATCGTACTTGCCATGGTTGCTTGGCCGCAGGTTGTATAGTTTATGTAGGCGTGTGTCTTCATGGCTAGCGTTATATGAATGGATGCGCTAGGCTAAAGCTAACGACAGCGAGGTGGCTATGGTTCCTGCGCCTCATGTTTGTGCAGACCTGAAAGACTTTTACCATCTGTGTGTTTGTTCTTGGTTTCATGCAATTTCGGAATCAGTTGTTTTCCAACCAAAACATGGTGATTTATAGACGTACTGCCTCTGCCCCTCCCTCGGACCAGTGTCACTGGGCCTTTGCTTCACAACAGCAGCTGCCTGTCAGGTTCAACGAGAAGTCATTTTCACTTTGAACCAGTGACAGCGTTTTCAGGTGTTTCCTTAAGCTGTCACTCTGTGAACATTGTCTCGAGCTTAAATGTTGTCCGCTGTTCTCTGCACGGGTTAATAGCCAAAGTCAAATTATACTTCCTACTTTTTGCTTTCATTTTCATTTCTTCTATGTAGGGTGATAATGTCTGCCTGTGGCACAGGTACACATATCATTTGGAAAGGAAACATGACATTTGTATTTCTTTTTTTGCTTTTATGTTTTAAGTATTTAAAAGAAATTAATGGAATCTTCACAATAACACCAAGGTCTGTGTTTTGAAAAGATCTGATCTTGGCAGGAAAATGGCACCAGCAGGCTCAGTGCGCATTAATGTTAATTTCACTTACTTTATTTTAAATATAATGGTATTTTGTTGTACCCCAGGAAACACACAGGTTGGTGCAGGAGCCTGTTCCTGGGATCTCTGCTCTTCCAGATGAAAGCAACGCACGTTACTTCCATGTGGTCATCGCGGGGCCTGCAGACTCTCCCTTTGAAGGAGGGACATTTAAACTTGAACTATTTCTTCCAGAAGAGTATCCCATGGCAGCTCCCAAAGTGCGATTCATGACCAAAATCTACCACCCCAACGTTGACAAACTGGGAAGAATATGTTTAGACATTTTGAAAGGTGACTTGTTGAATATATTTTTTGTAAAGTGATTCTACACATTTTGTTGTTGGCATTTCAGAATCATGCAATAACACACACACAACTTTTATCGTGTGAAAACATTTGATATGCTGAACATTACATTGAACTTGGTGGGCTACGGGCAGAGAGGGAGGCTGATTGACTTAAAATGAGTTAAAATTATACAATTCAAGCATTAAAGTTTTCTTCTTTTTTTTTAAACCAAATAATTTTCTTTTTTAATTCGCTAAATCTGATGTCTATATTTTTAAACACCTTAAAGAAGTATTGTAGATTTGTTTTTAATTACGATCAACCGTTGTAGCCGTGGCATTTTCACTTTTTAACCTTGCTGTCTATCTTGCAGATAAGTGGTCCCCAGCTCTTCAGATCCGTACAGTGTTGCTATCTATCCAGGCTTTGTTAAGTGCTCCCAACCCAGACGACCCTCTTGCAAATGACGTCGCAGAGGAGTGGAAAAAGAATGAGACCCGTGCCATTGAGACAGGTAGAAACTCGTTCACACTTTGCCCTCCAGAAATCTGAATACAAATGTAACAGGATAAAACTGGTTTTTACTATTTTATAGTCTGTTATGTGCTTTTTACAGTAGTTCATGTTTAACACATAGAGATACTTATATTGTCTACAGTCACTTTTAAGTAACTTTTTAGTTTTTTTTATACTGTGAAAAAAATTTTATTGACTCAATACTTTGTTGCAGGTTGAATAAAATTCCCTACATCATAAGAATATGATGGTATCATCAAAATAACACTGATGATTTGACTTTTACTTGCCCTCAGCCTAGATCTTGTGATCTCATAAGTTGCATGTCTTGCAGGCAAATGGTCCCCATGTTGGCTAGCTACGGCTCATGTTACCTTTATTTTGACTAAGCAATCTACTGTGCTGTCCTGTATTCTGAAATTTTGTGAGAGCAATAGAATGCATACTATTTTGTCTTTTTTCTTGCTTTGTTCTTTTTTATTTTAGTCTCATTTTTGCAGTAATTGAAATTCTATGTTTTTTGCAGCTCGAACATGGACCAGGCTCTATGCGGGCAAGAATGAAGTATAAGAGGGAGTGGGATTGAGGCGTTTGAATGTGATCCACACAATGTACTCCTATTCTGTCTACATTTACATTTAACGGACACAAAAAGATAAAGTTATTGAGTCCAATTCTATTTGAAAGA